ATTGTAGACTGTGGACTTGCAAATTTTCCTGTTTTATAATGAAAATAATATTTAAAAAATAATTTTACTGAAAAGATAACCATGGATCAACAGAAGTGAGTAAAAAAAATCTTTTGCTTCCTGTCTGAATTTCTGAGAGGAAGAGTTATCATTATTTACATGCAGACTATTGTTCTTATCTTTGTTGCTGCAAAAATGATTCACCTATTGTGCCCTCCAGCTTTCATCAGGTAGATGAAAATTTGGGTTGACATACACCTGTTGATGGCCAATGAGCACAATGGCCAAAACACTGTGATAGCAATAACAATGATGATAACAATAGTCTGATTTTAAATAATGCAAATAAAATCAATTGCTGTAGAAATAAATGAGGAAATAATCTCTAAACATGAAAGTGGAACAAGTTCTAACAAACACAGTGCCAGTATGAAATGGTAAAATAAACAATGTAAATTCTGCAGCTAGAAATGAATGCCAAAAATTTATGCTGCAGGATCAAAGCTAAAGGATGATATTTTGACAAGAGCAAAATTTCTTTTTATCATAATAAAATTTCTAATGCATTTTTGTTTGATGCCCTTTTATTTCTGGAAAGGAAAAAAATGCAACACAGACAACAAAAAAGATATATGCCATTTATACAGATGATGTCATAGCTCAATATACTGTTCACATGATATTGAACATTGCAACTATACTCCATATGTCATATGATTGATTTGTTTTTTTATGACTTATCAACCCTTTTAAGGTTATTTAAAGCTGAAACATAATTTGCTTGAAAGAATATGTTTTTTCAAGTCATTAACAAATCTTTGGAGATAATAATGATTTTTTCCAAATACAAGTCCTACTATTTAACTCACAGTTGGGGGGAAAAGAGATGGATTCATGCATTATTCAGGGGTATTTTGCATGTAAGTCACCTGGATATCAAACTTGGTTTTTCATTTTCTCATTTCAAGCCATTATCTATTAAACCACTTGCAGACAGGCATCAGAGCTATGACTTTTTCTCTTCAAAAACAATTCCTGTATCATTAAACTTTTGCTGCAGAACAGTGGAAATTATACTAATTTCTTTCAATCTAAAAAATAAAAACTTCATCCCTAAATGTAAAAAAAAACTGTATAATATTACTAAGTATATGCAAATATTTTAGTCAATAATAAACAGAACATAGCCTGCCTTGCCACAGGAAAAATATCAGATTTCATACTTGACAAACCATGTGGCAAAAACAGGCAGTTTTTTTTAATCATTTCAACCCATGCAAGGCAATAAGTCCACTGAGTGGGAGAGAATATGAGAAAAAAAAAAAACATAAAACATGCCAAAGAGGAAAGCTCATCAAAACAATTACCATGAAAGTATTTATAGAATAGGGAAGCTACATTATGGCAGTGGCAAAGTGACTGAGTCCAACATGCCAGGTCAGGATCAATAGCATTGCAGATTCTTCTTTGTATTTTATCAAGAATCTCTAAATATATAGCAGAAGTGCAAGACCAGATGTGGCAGCAATATTCAATGCATGAAAGTTAGATATATAGATCCCTCCCAACTTCTATTAACAAATTTATTCTCTGTGTACTATTCCTTTTTCTGATCCTTAGATGCATAGAGACTAGGTTTTTACCATTATGATTTTTTTTTTTTGTAAAAAAATTAATTCTTGCACTTTTGCTTACAAACAAAAAAATGGTTCCCTTTTTCTTTCAATTTAAAAAAAAATGGTCACCTTAAATTAAAAGGAAAATGTATCTACATAAACTTAAAATTACTGCTCATGTCATAGCACTTTCTGTTAACTGTCACTTGGTGACTAGCTTTGTTTTCTAATTGAAGATTTCACCACCTTTTACACCTCTATAGATTATGGTGAGTAGCAGGTAGCTGTCACCCCTGTTAACTGTGATAAACTCCATCTATTGAATATTTATTTGTTTCAGCTAGTTAAGTATTATGAAAAAATGAAGACAGAGTTTGTTAATAGAACAGAAGAGATCCTCCATTAATCAGAATGAGCAGATGATATTTTCTACCATTTGCTATGAGGACATTTTTCTTTGATTGAATTTAAGATGATTCCAAACCTTAGCAATGATAGTTGGAATTCATGAGCCATTTTCACTATTCTTGCATTCGTTTTTATACCTTCAACAGGGAAAACATTGGAGAAATTATGCAGATTCTTTCATACAACTGTACAGAGGATTGGTTTAATAATCAGATGTTCAATGTATTGTTTTTAGTCTTGGGTACATAAACACTTGGGTTATAACATTTTGACAATTTTTCTGAAAAAGTAATTCCTTAATCCTAAGTCTTTTGCTTAAAAAAAATGAAACTGGCCTTAATTTTCTTTCAATTTCAAAGAAGGCTAAACTCAAAGGAAAAAAAAATAATCCACATGGAAAATAAGTTTCAGGTATTTGTATACCAAAATGATGGAACTGAATTTCAATTGGACACTCTGCATTTGAAAGATGGCAAGACAGAAACTATTGCTGAAGGAATTGGAAAAGTTCTTGATGAATACAACTTATGAAATGCAATAAAGATCATTATTACTCATGCAACTTTCCATCTCTAGGGGGAAAAGATTTGAGTATTTGTCAAATTACAATGAATACTCTCAGAAATGTTGACTGACAAACCACAATTTATCAGATGTCAGTTCAACACTCAGAAAGATGACAAGTTTTGGGAGGATGGAATCATGAGGGTTCTTCAAATATAGTGAAACATAGTGGAACAAAATGGCACATATGTGGTTGAGTAAATCTATAGACAAATTTCTAAATATTGACATTGAAATTCACTTAAAAAATGCTATAAATTTTAGTTCCAATGCAGTAGGTTCGCTGCTACCTTTCACCATATTGGAATAACGGAAAAAGTATTTGCAAACAGAATTTATCACACACACACACACACACGTTTAAAATAGGATATAGAATGCTGACAAAGTTTTTAAGAAATTTGACAAATGGAAAACATTTTGTTGAAACTAGATTTGATTATGCATTATACCTTTCAAAGCTTCATCAGATCCAAAGGAAGAAATGTGTGTGTATGTGTACTATGATTTATTATTTAAACATACACACAAATACACATGCACACATTTTCTTTCTTGCATTTTTTTCTTAAAATATATCAATATTATAAATTCGAATGTCAGTGTGTCACTGTGTTACATTTTTTCAACTTTACTTCTAGAGGCTATAGACCAACATATCATACCATTTTGAAATCAAGTCAACTCTGTGAGCAAATTACAAACATTCTGGGCCAGATCCAGAGCAGCAATCCTGAAATTTTGGATTCCCACATTTTTATTACTGTGATTGTTTTTGGCAATTTTTTTGTACAATAACAATTTTTATAACTTGGAAATAAATTTGGAAACAATCTAAATTAATTGCCAAATCCAGAGAAAGTCACCTATAAAATAAAATAAAATAATTGTTTGTACAAATAGCAAAGCCCTATGTACATTAAATTGTCTTCAAATTACGTGGTGTCAGATGAATTATCATTGAACTTTTAAAAGGTAAGTTTACATATTAATGCAATACTTAAATGCAGCGATAAATTTTGAGTTCTGTTTGTTTATTGTTGCCTATCACATCTACTCCTTCCTACCTATTGTGATGAAGGCCCAATCAAGGACGTAACTTAAATGCCACCCAATAGGATGGCTTTTAAGCTTATATATATATATATATATATATATATATTCTGAATGGAGAAATTTCAATGCATCTCTCTATACAACTGATGTATGGATTTTGAATTTTAAATGTTTTATATTAAAAGTGAAAATGGATGAAAATGAGAAGCACTTTCATCATTTTTTATCTCTGGAAAGGAAAAAATGATGTACAAACAGCAAAAACGTTATGTACTATTTATAGGGATAGTGCCATAGTTGAGTGTACTGTTCATAAATGCTTCACTAAGTTGAGAAGTGGAAATTTTAATCTGGAAGGTCAAGAATATTCTGGCAAGCCTACAGTCATTGATGGCATTCAAATCAAAATTCTGTTTAAAAATAATCCATAAATAATAATTTGGATTATTAATTATATCGATCCTTACAAAATATCTTACCCTTCAAACTTAAAAAAATCTCTCAGTAACTAGGAATGATGCCTGCCAACTACTCCTGCTCATGAACAGATATGTACAGTGTGTCAGCCCCTTGAGGATATGTCCAACTTGTTATGGTCAGGCAAGAAACAAGCAAATCTATGGTACTGAATGGTATATTTTATGTAGGCTATTTAAATTCATCAAGACAAAGTATGTACATGATAACACCTTCAATCAGAAGTCTTGAGAACTGTGTTTGGTGTAGCATTAAAGTTTTATTTTCTAGATAATAAGTGTGCTTGACCATTATGCCCTGCCAATACCCCATAAATAATGAACTATTCTGTTTTGATCAAGTAGAAAGAGATTAAAGGATACTACTTGGTTTTAGTGAGAAAAAGAAAGAAAGGAAGATTGAAGTGTTTAACAGCTGTTTCAGTGAAATGGAAAAGTTGTCAGTTTCAAATATTTTCATTTGTAATCTTAAAATAATGACAAGCATTCATATTTATGGTGATTTTTCTAAGCATAGCTTGGATGTTGCCCAAGGCCGAAAATATGGAGCAATCAATGAGGAACAAACTCACTACTCAGGCATCCATATTTATGATTGTTATTGCAATATTTTGTTAAAATTGTTATGCGCAAATATTTAATGAGATACAGGAATTTCTACAGATATTTTGTTGTCCTAGAATTCACCATGTGCTTCTTCAATTTTTGACTGAAGAATTAGGATTAATAGGAAAATCAAATTGGAAAACTGAAATTTTCAAGGTTTTTTTCTAGTTATTATTATTTGTTGTTCTTATTGTTCTTATTTGTTGTTGTAAAATACTATTATTCTCATGTCACAATAGTAGAAACTTGATCAAGTTTTTTTTTTCCTGTTTAGGGTATCCAATTGGATATATTTTGGAAAATTGGAGAGGAGACTATAGCTTGCTAGAGAGAAATCATTTTTATATACAATGGTAAGTAAAACATGGAATTTTCTTTAAATTTCTTTTTATTCTACAAAATATTTTCCCCATTATTTTTATGTTGCTTTAATTATAACTTTTCAGCCAGTGTCTTCTTTAGCATTCTCCATGGAATAATCACATCTGGTCTGGTGCTTCTGCTATGTACCTTAAGATTCTTGGCAAAATCCAAAGAAGAATCTGTAATGTTATTGGTCCTGAACTAGCAACTTGGATTCAATTTCTTTCCCATTGCCATAATATAACTTTCCTATGCCTTTTCTAAAAATATTTTCTTAGTAATTGTTCTGACGAGCTTTCCTTTTTGGTATTGTGACTTTATGAATTTAAGCACAGTACTATATTGGCAAATAAGTTTTATCATTGAAATTACTAGATGTAACTGTAAGTTCTATGCTAATAGTTTCTTTTCTTGCACTTCTTATTTGTGGAACTTTATTCCAAATTTTTGATTTCTAGCTAACTTTGATTTTGAACATATTTAAGGCAATGTTAATTATCATCTTCTGTCTCATTGAATCCTGTTCTTTTATTGTTCTCTCTCCTTAATAATGTTTTTTCTCAGATTCTTTCATTCTCAGTAACCCCTTGTATTAGTAGCTTTTTTGCCTTACTTGGGATGAAATGATTAAAAATATATATATATACATATATAATACCAAATTTGTAAGTGGTAAGGATTATTCCAAGAAAGAAGGTCTTTTTAACATAAAAATATTAAAGAATCATATCTGTGAAGAGAGCTCAATGTATGCATTTATATACAGAGCAATATAAATAATAGTAAGGAAAAAATTAGAACATCATATAAATCTGTTATAAATTTATTTCAGCAGATATGCATATCTATATCTGCTGCATCAGACCAACTACATTTTATTAAATGATACAAATTTAGCCAGGCAATTTGAAAATAAACCAGACAAAAAAAAATGTAGCAGAATTAACTTGACCTTAAAAATATTTACATAATTGAAGAGAGAGAAATAGAGGAAGAAAAAAGAAGTTTGTATCTTCAATTATGTAAGAAAAAAAAAACAGGTTGTCAAATCAGACACATGTACCTATTATAAATAACATTTATAGTAATAAGAAAATTGAGGAACTTATAATTTTTTATTTTAAAACTCTAATCAATTTGGGTTGTAGGAGCACAGCTATAGTAGTAGTGATAATTCCTCAGCAAAATAACCTGACAGAACCCAAATTTCTCCAGGTTGGTTTTGAATTCAGTGTTTTTACTTCTCCTAGACTGGTTGCCACTCAGGGCTATAGGACCTAAGTCTTTCATACTATTTATCCATAACTGGAGGGAGAAGAAATGGATTCATACCTTTCCTAAGGATATTCACATGTAAGTGAACGTAATGAACATGACTGGAAATTGACCCAGCTCTTTGATTCCATAATACATGCCACAATCCATTACTCCCCTATACATCCTCTTAATAGTTAATCATGCTAAAAAAGTAAAATATATTTTTGAATATTATCTTTTGATTGATTTTTAACTTACTTAAATTTTTGTTGCAGGTTGTTCCCAAACCGAATGCCTGGAATTAACTCATATGCTTGTGTTCTCACAGATAGAGATGTAGAGGTTTGAGAGTTTTTAAATTTATTTTTTTGATGAAATAATCAAGAAAGCAATTTTGCTAGAAATGTGCATTCTTCAAATCTATTATAGGAGGATCTTTCTGAAAGTTTATGGAATATGAAGACTATATGAATGTAATAAAGACATTTTGTGTGCAGTGCCTTAATATCTACTTTCCACAGTATTCCTTGAAGTACAACTTTGAAAAAAAAACAAAAAAACAGGGAAACTAGGTTTCAAATTAGAGGTGGCCAACCTTTCATATTGCATATGTCAACTTTTCTATCTATGCTAAAAAAAATGTAAGTGCATCTTTTTGTAAAATGAGAAAAAACACTTTTAGGATAAAATAAAATTCAAAATAAAAATGCACTATAAAGTTTGTTTTTTTTTTGTTTAAATTTCAACAAAAAAATACTGTTGAGAAATCAGTTTTCATGTACTTCTTCACCCAAATGACATTTTTTCTCTTTATAATGTTTATTTAATTGGTAGTTTCAGGTTTTTAGATAATGTTCTAAAGATTCTGCATCTTTCCTCTCTCTTTATGTCTGTAACACCTCAGTAGACTAATGAATAAGTGGGTACAAATGTAGTTTTTAAATATTGACTTTATATTTTGAAAGAGCTGAATAGGATTTACATCCTTCAATGTCTTCAATGGAGAAACCTCTTTCATACAAATGTCAAATTTATTATATATTGCTTACCAAATTTCTGTTCTACTTCAAAAATATTAGAATTCTTTGAAATTTTTTTTCTTTTAAGCCCAGGGGAAAAATTTATGGAGTTGCCTTCTCTTTTCTTACCTATAATCTTCTTTCAAAATAGCTGCCTCTCTTAACATATGTAGCAAGTAAAATGTTTTCGTAGAATTTTTTTTTCTCAGAAGGAGAAATTTCTGCAAGCATTCACAAGATATTAGTGAATTTCTATGGAAAGCTGCACTTGATATAAGCACAATAAGGATATGGCTTAGAAGAGAGAAAGGAGAAACTGGCATTAGTGACAGGCTCTGCAGTAGCAGGCCAGCTGCTGCTGTGAATGAGAATGGAGCCAAACATACTGATGTTCTCATCACAGCTAAGAGAAGATTCCCAATTGCAAAACTCAGTGAATGCCTTCCAGTGAACCATGGTATTTATGCAATTTAATGTAGTCTCTTGGTTACTCAGTGTAAAGTAGGTTCCCAGAATGCTGACAACCATGAATAGTTTCAGGACTATTTGATTCTGGCCACAAAAATTCACAAGTTTCAATCAGGTTGAGAACTTCTGGTACATGTTAGATCAATAGATTTGTGTTGCAGATCCTTTATCACATTGTTTGGTTGTCAAATATATACTGGACGACCTTATTAGTATCTGGCCATCGAACACAGATAATTACCTGAACATTTGCAATAACAAAATAAAGAAGGTTAGGGAGAAGTCAGAAAAACATAGATAAGGTTTTATTTTCTAGAAAGAGAACATGCTAATAAAGTATAGAAATATGATACATGCTTTCTCTCTGACAATGAAAAGGAAAGCTAGTGGATATTAAAAATCTGTCTTTACTTACAAGTCATCATGTCATGGGTGTGAGGCATTCTCTACTCATGTGTCCTGGGGTACATTCTGCCTTAGCAGCATCTACTAGAAGACTGCATCTGTACAGATGAGGCTTCACTGACTGGTCAATCTTGGTGTATGTTAACTGAAGAACAGGAAGTTAATCCCACAACTTGCACTATTTAAGAACATGCTGTTAAGATCCTGACACCAGATCCCAAAGGAAATCTTTATAATTCTTGTAGAGTTTATGCCTGATCAAGTAAAAGCTGTTTTATTGATACATGGATGATCAAAATCTTACTGCACAGGAGGCCATGATGTTTTCATTTGTCAGTGTATGATAATGTGGTGTGAAGTTTCATTAATGTATTTCTTATTTGGAGGAGATGTTTTCGAATTAAGTTTCATAGTCAGTTGTTTATCTACAGATTATATATAATTATTTCAATGAAATAAAAATATTCACCAGCTTTTTATACAACAGAATACATAAAATTATGAAGAGCCATAATTGCCTATAACCTGAAGAGACATGAGACAGAGAGTGAGAGAGGCTGGGAAGAGAAGTGGGAATCTACTTGATAAGTTAGAGCAAATGGGTAGAACAAGCACTGCAAAGATGTGTCATAAAGAAGCAATAATTACTTAGAGGAAGGTGTAGAGATCCATGATAACCTATATGCTAAAGGGAAATAACTCATATAAAAGAATGGAGGCGGAACCTACTTGATGAGTTAGAGCAAATGAGTGGAACAAGTGCTGCAACAATAAAGAGGTGTCATAAATGAGCAAGAGTTACTTTGAACAACAAAAGACAGAAAGTTGTGGAGAGCCATGATCACCAATATCCTGAAGGGACATGACACACAGAAAGGGAAGGAGGGGAACTTACTTAATAAATAGTGCAAATGAGTTGAACAAGTAGTGCAAAGATAAAGAGTGGTCATAATGGAACAAGAATTAATTGGGGCAACATCAGACAGGAAGTTGTGGAGGGCCATGATCACCCACATCTTGAAGAGACATATCACATAGAGAGAGAGAGAGAGAGAGAGAGATATTATTTATAATTACTTGAATGAAATAAGAATATTCATCTAAATTTTATGCCTTTTTACATTCTTGCAGATTATTAATGGGTCACCAGAGTTGAAAGAAAGAGTGAAGGAGGCTTTTGAAATGATGTTGGATTTTTATGGCGTGCGACTCACAAGAAACAACCGGTTTGAACCTGCAGAAAACTTCAGTAAAAGACTTGCAGTGCTTAACCAACAGTAAGCTATGTAATATTGAAATGTATCAAAAGTATATTTTTTTAATCAATATCAATTTAAAATCATGTAAAGTTCTATATATTCATGATCCTAGCTGTATGACAGGTATATTTCAATGGCCCTAGCTCAATGCCTGGCCTCTTCAATGATCCTAGATCTACACATGGCCTTTTCCTATGTTCTTAGCTCTATGCCTAACATCTTTCAATGATCCTATATGTATACCTTTTCAATATATCTCAGGTCTATGTTTGCCATCTTTCTATGATCTCAGCAGTGTACCTGTTACCTTACTATGATCTTGGATCTACACATGGCATCTTTTGATGATCCTAGCACTATCCTTGGCATCTTTAGATGATTTTAGCCTAGTATTTCTCAAGCATTTTAAGCAACAGCACACCTAGGAGCATATGAAGATATGATGGCACACTCAGCAACATTTTTAAAGGGTATACATTTAAATGTTATGAAATAAAACCATAAATTTAAAAAAAATAGACACAAATAGGAACATACTATATTTCTATGTTTCTTTTGAACTACTTATGTTGCTTATTTAGTGTGAAACCTGTGTCTGGTGTTTGTGTTGCAACTTTTTCAATATTTGGTTGAATGTGCAATAAGCAGACCTTCATTTCTTCTTCAGTTGAGTGTAGTCTTTCTTGCTTCTTATTTTTCATATTATTTAAGAGTGAGAAGCCAAATTCACATAAATATGAAGCAGAAAATTGCAATAAAACTGATAAAGCCTTTTTAGTTATTTATTTGAAAATACTTATTCATTTATTCAAATACTAACACTATACCATTACTACTACTGCACGTACATATATATCATGACAATATTTCACAACACATGTAAGAGGGTTGCATGGCATAGTAGTGTGCCACAGCACGGTGGTTGACAATCACAATTCTAGCCCTCTGCCTGGCATCATTTTATAATCTCAACTCTACACATGACATCTTTCTATGATCCTAGCTCTACAGATGTCATCTTCTGATGAACCTAGCTCTATGCCTGACATCTTTTGATGATTCTAGCTAAACATATCTTTTGATGATCATTACTGTATGCCTGGAATTTTTCAATGATCCTACCTATATGCCTGACATTATTCAATGATACTAGTTCTACACATGTGTTGGGGTGCACCCACCTTCTCATCAGAATGGACTGATCTCTCTACTACAAATAGGACAGATCTATAGAGTTCTGGGAAGATCAGGTGACCATCACACTTCCGTCTCTCTACCGGAAGATACAGTTCGACTTTATACTCTTTCTGATTGTTACTGACTAACCTGCATTTGTTTGACTACTAATCTCTCTGTTGTAAATACCTCTTCGGATATACCAGTATTTTTCCCTATGTATGTGTTTGTCCTTATTTCAATACATGCATGCGGAAACACTCAACATCTCAACAATATGGCATCTTTCCACAATCCTAGCTCTGTGCCTGATCTTTCAATTATCCTAGCTCTACAAACGACATCTTTCCATGATCCTAGCATCTTTTTTAGGATTCTTGGTCAAGACCTGGTATCTTTTGATGATCGCAGCCCCATGCCTGGCATTTTCTATAATCTTGGCTCTACACATGCATCTTTCAATGATCCTAGCTCTATACCTGACATCTTTCGATGATCCTAGTTCTGCACATGGCCTCTCTATGATCCTAGCTCTATGCCTGGCATCTTGTGATGAGCCATTGTTCTAAGCCATTCATCTTTCCATGATCCAAGATCTACACATGCTCTGTTTCTATAACCCTAACTCTATGGCAAAGGTTCTGTATTGGGAGCTGTCGATGGTTGTCCTAGCACAAAGTCATAAATCATTGTGACTGAAGGTTTGAGTGTACTGGCTTTATTCAGACTGTTGGTCACTCTAGATGACACACTCTCTCCCAAAAACTGTAACTACGGTCTGCTCAGCATAATTGCAGTATAAGCCACAGGTGGGCTCTGTGGGTGTTGAACAAACACAAATGTGCCTGAGCAGGTGTCAGCAATGTGGATTAGCTAGCTACCCTAGTAGACTGGCATCATTGGATATGAGTGGCTGCACCATTTAGATCCATAGCATCTCTTGATGATTGGTGTGTTAAAAGAATGGTTTTCCTCTTGACTCCCCATTGCTGGAAATTTGCTCAATGATTTTTAGTGTTTTAAAAAACTATTTTTAGACTTTTAATAAAATGTAAATATTTGAAACTGCATTTATAAATTTTCTTTTTTCTTGAGTATTAGCAACAAAGATATTAAACATTATTTCTTTATTGGATTGTTTATTTGCAATAATAATTTTATATCTACAAGTTTATAAAAATATGTGATACAATGCAATATTTATTATTTACCATATGAAGAAAAAACTATGAAAAAAAAAATTTTATTTGCAAATTTATAAAAAATGTCTGTGAACAAGAGAACAAGAAAAGTTAAAACAAAAACACATAACAATGAGTAACTGTACTTAACTGTAATTATAAATTTTGAAAAAAATGAATTTTCTGGACATTATTATTTTCTTCTCAGATTATGTCATATCTCGGATTTCTTCTTTAATTTTCCAGTTCATCTAGCTATTGTTATACATTCATTTTTAAAATTTATAATTATTATTATTTAAAATTTTGTTGTCTATTCTTAGAAAAAATGTATAAATCCAACTAAATACCTCATTGGTTAATAAAGTCTTCTTAAGGGTCATAGGCATTTCACATGAATTTTTATACTGGATTTTATTTAATATAACACTTGTTGGGTGTGCAGGCTTAAGACAAAATCATGATTCAATAGTTATGAATCAATACATACATTATTTCAATTCATCTCTTATTGGGTTGACAAGGGTCTTGTACCCACCAAATCTATGATACAGAGTCCCCCACTCTACTACATCTCAATTTTCATAAGCTAGTATTCATATAAAATATAAATTTTATTGTAACCTAATTATGCACAATAATGAATCATATGAAATAGGTGAACAATTCAACAAGAAAAATTGAAAATAAATTTTGATGTATCAAAATACAAATTACATCATTCTATTTTAAATACATCAATAATGTTTTGCACCAATTTTTAACATCAACTTGAGATTTTTCTTGTTAAAAAGCTGAAGAATTTTAACACATTCAACATTATGAATAAAAAATACTGAATTTTATATGGGATATTTTTTAGACTTAGCAAGAGCAAAACAAATTCACAAATTTGGATGAAAAAAAAAAACACCAGAATGATATCAAAATCCAGGAACATTTTTCATCCTTTAATTGAAGGTCGTTCTCAATGGATTCCTATCCCATGAACGCAGGTGTTCCCCAACGCTCCATCCTTGGTCCCACTCTATTCCTTATTTTCATCAACGACCTTCCTGATGCCATAGATTCCCAAGTTGGCATATACACGGACGACACTACAATTTACTCCTGCCTCAAAAACAAATCTAGTGTTGCTGAAAAAACTAACCTGGCCGCTCGTCTTGAAATGGACCTCCAATCAGTTGTTAATTAAGGCAAGAATTGGCTGGTCAACTTTAACGCCTCAAAAACTAAACTGTTCTCTATTAATCACCATAGAGATCCTTCCCTGCCTCCCATTAGAATGTCTGATAGTTAACTTCTTGAGAGCAACTCTCTGCGTCTGCTTGGTCTCACGTTGACTGCTGACCTGAGATGGAACAAATACATTGAGTCCATTGCTTTGTCCACCGCGAGGAAAGTTGGCTCTCTGTGACGTGCCAGGAAATTTTTCTCCCCGGAATTGATACTTCAAATATACAAATCAACCATTTGCCCTTGCATGGAGTATTGCTGCCATATATGGTCTGGTGCACCTTCTGTTTACCTCAGAGTTCTTGAGAAGATCCAGAGGCGGATATGTAATATAATTGGCCCTGATCTGGCATCTCGTCTACAGTTGCTCTCTCACAGATGCGCCGTCGCCTCTCACTCTGTCTTTTTTACAAGTACTTTTATGGTAATTGCTCCGATGAGCTGCTTTCACTGGTTCCCAGACTTCATGAATTCAAGCGCCCTACGAGGCTGGCATCCTCTTCCCACCCTTACACTGTAGAAACTTTTAAATGTAGCCATCTCTTCTACTCCAATAGCTTCATGCCTCACACCTCTTGCCTGTAGAACACCCTTCCCTATTACTGTTTCCCTGAGAGCTATAATCTCCAACTATTCAAATGTAATGTCAATCGACATCTCCAGTTACCTTGATCTATCCACTATCCCTCTCCTCATCCTTTCTTCTATCACTCCTATCTGCTCTCACTCCAAATCTTCTGCAACCCCCTGCAATCCTAGTGGCTTCACACCTTGCTCGGGGCGTAATGCTTAAAAAAAAAAAATATTATAAGTCCCAACCTGACATCTCTGCTCCAATGACATTTTTTTCAGTTTCCTTCACACTCAGTAACTTGTTGCATTTTAGTGGCTTTATTGCCACAGTTGGGGAAAAATGATTGAAAGACAAAAGTTTATTTTTAAATAATCAATTTTAAGTCAATATCACTGGGAAGCTATAAGAAACTTCATTTTATTTCAGAATTTTGTTTCTTTTTATAAACTATAAATATATTTTCTCTCTGTCAAATTTGACATTTTTACAAGTCTTCCAAGGCAGATAATATAAAATAAGGTTACCCTTTTCATAGGCACATTTTTACTGCTAACAAAACAGATATATTAAAATTGTATATAAGAAAAAAAAATCATAACAAAGGGAAGAAAAACAAGGATAATAAAATAAATCTCCATAAAGAGCTGAATTAAAATAATATCACCAACAAAAAAAAAACTGCTAGAGAAAAAAACAAGCAAATAGGAAAAAAAAAGGCTAACCAGTATTCAATCCTTGCTCTTTAAAGCTAATCGAGGACAAACGTTGTATTCACAACCTTTAAAAACACAGTAAATAAGAACTACCAGGGAATCAGCAGAGGAGAAAAAGTTTATATATAGTTTATATAATGCCATACTGGTTATATTAAGACCCAGCAGCCATTCCTTTTGTTTACAGAAGGAAGGCTGTTTAGACTGAATTTATGTTATCTCCAGTATTCTCAAGTTGTAATCAAAGTGCTCTTTGTTGATTATGATAAAGAAATCGCTGGTAGACGACATGGCACACACTGGATTATTTATCAAGTGTTCAGCAATCACTGAACCTGATGTATTAATCAGTTTATACAACTTATCAAATTTCCTATGACAGATCTTATCTGATCTGTTCTCGTCTCCAACGTTTGAATAGTTCTACCTTTATATTCAGCTTCACACTGACATTTATAATTGTAAATAACAAAGCTTACATGATGTGGGGGAAGTCCATCCTTACAGCAAAGGTTGGGAAAAAAACACCAGTGTTAGGTTTACAAGAAAATAGCAAGATTTCACACTTTTAGGGATTTGCTGAGCAAATCAAGTGCTAACATCACCAATCCATAAAATTCCGAAATAAAATGTTTCTCATAGCTTGTTTTTTTCTCTTTTAATATGACTATTTTGTGAGCAGTTATAAAGTTTTGTAATCTCCATAGATTATCTACCCACATTTTTGTAAATATAACCTTCTAAATTACATTTGTTTAAATATATTCTTTTTGGCTATATATATGAATATACATGATGGTTTTAATTTTTCTACCTAACAGGTATAACCATAATTATCTTCGTATCACAAGAATCCTGCTGGCTATCAAGGAACTTGGGCACAAAGATTTGATGCTACCTTGGCTGAAATTCATGGCTGATCTGGTTTACAGAGAAAACCTGCTGAATCATGCAAAGGAAAGTTTTGAGAACTATTGGCAGCACACATTAGATGAAAAGGATTTTCTTCAATTAAGAAATTTTGTACAAGAATGTAAGAGCACCAAATCTACAGAGGAAAAAGCAAAGGCTACTCTGCATAACACTTCAACAGACACACATGAGGGTACCCTTTCCAGTACTAGTCCACTTACTACCCCAAGTAACAGACATGACAATGCGAAAAATGACATTCTAGGTACCCCCTCCAGGACTAGTCCACTTACTACCCCAAGTAACACACTTGACAGTGAGGAAGATGCCATTCTAGGTACCCCTTCAAGGACTAGTCCACTTGCTACCCCAAGTAACACACTTGACAGTGAGGAAGATGCCATTCTAGGTACCCCTTCCAGGTCCACTTACTACCCCACTTATACCCCAATTACATGACAATGTAACCCTTCCAGGATTAGACTAGTAACACACATGACAGTTCGAAAGATCCCATTCAAGTAACCCTTCCAGGACTAAAATGACCCCAGTTGACAAAAAAGCCATTCTAAGTAACCCTTTCAGGACTAGTCAACATGCTACCCCAAGTAACACACTTGACAGTGAGGAAGATGCCATTCTAGGTACCCCTTCCAGGACTAGTCCACTTGCTACCCCAAGTAACACTCTTGACAGTGAGGAAGATGCCATTCTAGGTACCCCTTCCAGGACTAGTCCACTTACTACCCCAAGTAACATACATGACAATGCGAAAGATTACATCCTATGTACCCCTTCCAGGACTAGTCCACTTACTACCCCAAGTAACACACATGACAGTTCGAAAGATCCCATTCTAGGTACCCCTTTCAGGACTAGTCCACTTGCTACCCCAAGTAACACACTTGACAGTGAGGAAGATGCCATTCTAGGTACCCCTTCCAGGACTAGTCCACTTACTACCCCAAGTAACACACTTGACAGTGAGGAAGATGCCATTCTAGGTACCCCTTTCAGGACTAATCCACTTGCTACCCCAAGTAACACTCTTGACAGTGAGGAAGATGCCATTCTAGGTACCCCTTCCAGGTCCACTTACTACCCCACTTACTACCCCAAGTAACATACATGACAATGTGAAAGATGCCATTCTTGGTAACCCTTCCAAGACTAGGTCACCCATACCCAAGTAACACACATGACAGTGAGGAAGATGCCCTTGTAGGTCCTTCTTCCTGGACTAGTCCACTTGCTACCCCAAATAATATATATGACAATGAGATAGATACCATCTGAGATAATGTTTCAGGACTAGTCCACTTATAAAGCCTTCTTTTCATAGTTTATTTACATCTATAAAATTACAAACAAGGATCTTTGCTAAATAATTAAACCTATGTCACTTGAACACTTTCAATAGAAATTGATAGTACATGTAACTAGAAAGAGAAAAATGATGCAGTTGATAGATTAACTTTCTGCACTACCAAAAACAAAAGGTTTAAAAAGCAACTCTCATCAATACAAGATATATCAATCACAGTAAACTCGTAAAATCCAATTTCTCCAAAAAAAAACTTTTCAAAAGATTTTATAAATTTCAACTGACAGTATTGCTTTGCTCACTGTTCAGTCAATAAATGTTGAATGTTTATTGTATGGAAACAACTAATTTCACCATTATAGAAGAATCAGGATAAAATATAGCAATATGAAACAAAAGTAGGAAATAAATATTTAGGAATATTGTCATTGGAAATTATATTTGAAAGGGTAGAATATGATATACAAAGTCTTTCTCTCTCTATATATATATATACAAGGTGTATCAGAAATACTTTTACAAACCTTGGGGGAAGGTACCTCACACTAAACAAGGACAAAAGTCTGTATAAACATACATCCACAAATCCTTTGTTTTTGAGTTAAGTTTAAAGAAAGTTTACAGTAGATGCTCTTATGTTACCATGTAGATTAGGTTACATTTGTCATTCGTGTACATTTGCGGCTAGTTTGTTTACAATGTATTATGTGTGTAGAAGTGAGTTAACTTAAAATATTCTGTTTAACAATGCAGACATGATCCTTACATACAGCCATGCAAATGATAATGCATGCGAGGCTGCACGGTTGTATCATATTGCGTTTCCAGATTAAAGGCAACCAAGTCATCCAACCTTTTCTGCTGTTTATCATTATATTGCTGAGACAGAATCTGTGGCACCACAAAGTATGGTAATAAGTAATTTTTGATTGTATATTAGATTGTATATTTCACAGCATCTGGGCCTTGTACAGGATGAACCTTACTGTATAAAAAAAAAATGGGGATTTTTTTCAATTTTGTCATTCAGTTCAAATTATGTAACTTTAAAAAATTATGTGTAAATTAACTTTTATTAAAATTTAGAAAATCTTTCAAGCAAACAAGGAAAGAAATTAAGGAAAATATCTGATTTAACAATGTGCATGTGTGTGGGTGTATATTAAAATTGTTCAAGTCTTTCACTTAACTGAATTATAATACTTTTAAGCTGTAAAGTTACATACCAAATAAAATGGTTTTAGCATTAATTATTTTTTTGGGGACTTAAGTTGTTTTTTTTATTCTTTCAAAGTTTTTAGGTGTTTTCTGCTCTAACCTTTATTTTATTTTTAATATTTTATTTTATTTTTTATTCTATTTATTTTATTTTTTTACATATTGTCATGAAGTTGGACTCATTTATACCAATAAAATGTCTCAGCTAGACACAGCCTTATGTATTTTAAGGTATGGTCTTCCCTAAACATTTTCACTTAGGGTTACAGACGCTATTTGTTCTAACATTGTTATGCTTTTATATTGAATAAAGCCTTAGAAATAAGGTTTGTGTCTTTTCTTTATTATCACATGTTATTCATTATAAAGGTATTTAGAGGATCTGTACTTTAAATCCATGGCTGACTTTTTCAAGAATCATGAAACAATTACTTAGACCAGAGTAGCATAACTCGTGTTCAGAAAGTTCTAAACAGGAATTAAAACAGAAAATTCATTTTGATCAATTTTACACTAAAGTCTTCTTTCCTGTGTGCCTAATAACCTACTAATTCTTTATTTTATTTTTTTTCTATACAGTAAATTCTCATACTCTCAATATTTCTATATTCTTCAACTTTAATTTTATTTATAACTCTTTTTTCCTGGTATCTATCTATCTATCTCAGTGCAAGAACTCGCAATCCCAGGCTACCCGCAAAACATGACCATCGAAATCAACACAACCACAGACTTGGCACTTACATTAATGACTGACTCCCAATGGTAAAGACCCCAAAAATAAGGACCCTGATCTCCTGTATATGTTTCCGCTTTCATCTTTACTCTCTATCATCCACAGGATGATGGAACTGTAATGTTTGACAAAATATCTGAGACAATTGATAATATCAGCTAGTATTCATTTTTGTTGTGACTTCAATATTCACCACAAAGAGTGAACTAGGCAGATATGGCTGATACTTCTCCATTGCTAACATAATAACACAGATCACTGAAAACACCTATGTTCCCAATGCAACAGAATATCAGGTGAACCTCCTAGATCTCTTCCTCCCATCCTGCTCTAAAAAATGTTCCACTGAATAGTTAACCCATTGGGTACTTCAGGCCATTAATTAGTCAGTGTTAAAGTCAATGCCAAACCAAAGGCATTCTCTGATGTGAAATTCCACAGAACAATTTTTGGGTACATCGAAGTTGATTGGAACAGCTTCATAGTAGAAGCTCCTCTCTCAGCCTTCAAGCATTTTGCCTCCAAAACTGCTGCTCTCATTTCTGAATGGATCTTTTCTAGATTGGAAAGTTTTATACCACAGAAAAAATCCTAGCAAAAGCCAAAAAGCCAGCCCTGCCTTACCCCTGAAAGTGCTACAGCCATAGCTGACAATAATCACTACTACAATATCTATCACAGAGAATGCTGTAGTCAGACATTTGCTGTTGGCAATCATTGAAAAGAGTTCCAGAAAATGCAAAGTGTAGCTATGCACAAGCAGTCCAGGCCAAGGTCAAAAGCAAACAATGAGAATCCTAGGAGTTCTGGAAAATCCCCAACTAAATTCTCATTAGATGTAGAGTGTCAGTATAACACTGTGGGATGTCATGTTCCCTGCACTATATCATAACATTATCCTGTTCTCAGTCACTAGTGTGTCTGTGATTGAATCTTGCAGCTAATTGTGGAGTTGGTTACTTTGATACAAGCCACTCCCTGTTACATGTCATGTTTGTTTTGATCACAAGGCAGGCAAAGATGAAATGGTTGCCAGCTATTGGTGGATTGATGTTGTTCAGGCAGGACGATGTTATAAGACAAAAAAAAGAAAGTTCGGTAAATCAATAAGGTTTATATAACTGAGATTTATACAGGAACACTTTTACATATAAGAATCTACAAATATGCAAGCTAATGACCATTACATCGTAGTTTAATTTTGTGACACTTTGTCCTTCGTTTCTGAGCCGGAGTCAAGATTTCAGACTTTAAGTTGGAGACTTCTCCAGGCAGCAAATTACAAAATGCTGACTCATCTCCCCATCTCTTTCTCTTGTTATACAGAGACTTTCAATTCTTCCACTTTGCAATTTCATCAAGGCACTCTGCTCAATTTATCTAATAGTCTGGAACAAGGCATGAGTCAGGAGGTCTACATGGCAACAAATCACATGCAGATCGGTGAAATGATCATCTGCTCTCGGCATAATGGATGTGCATCTCTGTCTCAACTGCTATTCTTATTCCCCTCTGATCTAACAGTTTATCAGTGTGGAGTTTAACACAATCTGGAGTTCCAGGATTTTCTAAATATCCAATCAGAACTCTCTACTGACAGTGTTCAGGGAAGCAATTTGCATGTCCAAATTTGGGAAATCCCTCCTGAGGAGAGTAGTGGTAGCAGGGCATCGACCTACCTTACTTACTCCCTCTTGTTCTTATTTGTACCTTATACCAACACCACTTTTGGATGTGGTCTCTTTTCTCCTATTCTCTCATGTTTACCAATTGAGGCCTTTCAACTGGGTGGCATGTGACTAGCGCGTGTTCGTTAATTAGAATTATCTGTCACAATTTCACTTCATCAGAAATGTCCTTTGTCATAAAAAGTTTTTTTGATATTTTCCAGATTTCTCATCTTCGATAATTATAATTCCTTCCTTGTCATTGGGAGGAAAGCTTGACCAAACTGTTATTTTAACATTTGACTGAATTCTTTATCATTTGGATTCTGCATTGTATCCAAAAAGATCTTATTTCTTTAGTGATATGCACACCCTCTGCCCCTATCAACAAGTGACACAAAATCATTTCCTTACTCTCTCCTTTTCCTACTTATAGACATAAAATTATTATCTGCAACTAGCTTGGTAAATTCGAAGCCCTGGCTGACTCACAGCTATCTCCCCACATTGTCCCTTGGGCCTCACTCTAAGCAGATGACCAAGTGGATGTCAGCATTATCTTCTAGTAAGACCCTTTACTCACAAAATGTGATAAAAAAATAAAAGTATATTTTCTTTTGTTTTCAGTATGTCCTTCAATCTATTTACTACCTCCTTTGCTTTTGTGTCCACTTTCGATTTAATTTAAACCTTTTTTCTCTCTTCAAGTTATTAGCATTCTTACAGTGTCACATTAATGCATGCTATCATAAATTTCCCTATGCCAATGTGTGACACCAACATAATAATAATAGTATTATAACAAGTGTTTAGTTGCAAAGGAAAGGAACAAACAATAATTAAAATTTCAACAGCTTGTATTCATCAAATTTTGGAATATATACATAGTTGGTTGAAATTTTGAAAAAATTGTTAGTGCAAGTTTCTTCAGTTGTTATTGGTAAGGAAAGTGATTAGGTGTAAGAGTGTTGTTGGAATTAAGTGATTTCTTGGGTTGGTTGGCCGAGGTCACAGTTGGTGCCAAAGGATAAATCTAAAATAGATTAACCATTACTGGGGTTTGATGTACACCCTTCTTCATGATTGAAGTTGACACATGTGAAGTGATTGATGAGCTGGCAATCATGTGAATGCCAAGATTTTGAAGCCAAACTGTCTAGTAAGGTGGGTTGGCAGGTTGGTTGATTGAGGTCACAGTGGTAGGTTGATTTGTGGTAAGATGCATTGGTTGCCAAGTTTACAGTAGTGGTGATGAATGATTAGGTGTAGATAGTGAACTTTGATAAACCAAAAGGTCTCTGTTTGATTCTGGTTGAAGTGGTAATCAATGAACAGAGTCACAAGGGAGGCCTGGAGTGGATAGTGAAGGTTGATCAAGTGGAATGTCTATGTTGGATTTTGGTTGAATGTAGTATTGATGAGAAAGGGTCATAGTGGTGATGACAAGGGAGGCCTGGAGTAGATAGTGAACATTGGTGCTTGTTGTCGGGATAGTTTAGTGACGTTTGGGCAGGATCATGGTTGTGATGAGATAGGCTATTATGGCTCTGATAGCGACAACATGTTTGCATGTTGGCAGGTGGCCTTTCAGCTCACACCTATGTAGGTCATTTTCAAGGGGCAAATCTGTTTTGTGGCCAGTTTTTGTTTTTATGGACTAGGTGTGATGACCTGCACAGAAAACAATTATTTTTATTTTGTGTTTTGCTTTTTTAATGTTCACATGTGGCCAACATGTGATGTGAATCAGAAAGAGATTTCATTGCAATAGAGCATAACATAATAACCACTTGTAATGGCTCCCATCTTGTTTTGGCATCCATGGCCACTAAGATGATTTTGAGACCAGCATTTGATTTCATAGTTATCAGGCATATATGAGTCATAAACTCTGTGTCCTTGATTGCACTATCATCATCAGTACAATCGTACACTTCTAAAATCTAAAATTATTGTAAAGTATAAATATTCAACTGACTCATGTCAGCTTGGCCTGTGTTGAGATTATAGTCATGTATGGCTTGCAGAACACAGCCAAGCCCCATATGAACAATGCTGATAATCCCTAAAATTTTTATTTAATGTTTGATTTAGAAATTAGAATGTTTGTCTGATCAATTAACTATCACCAACTGTTTCTTTAGTTGATACATTTTAGGTTGGGTAGGTCTGTACAATTCTTATTAGAGTTTCAATCTTATATAAAAAATGAAAATAATAATCAACACTGTTATTACTTTAAATCATTGATTCTCAACCTTTTTCTATTCATGGCCCCCTTTTGAGTGATGATTTTTTGGCTCATTTTACAATTTCTGGGACAAATAAACAGTGATATTTCTCCATATAAACTTCAAAAATGCTTGTTTTAAAAAACAGTTAAATGAAATAGATTTTTATTTTGGAAAAAAAAAATTCTACACATAAATACACACACAAATTTTAAAAGTTATTCCAAAAAAATTAAAAATAAAGTGATGGAAAATAAAAAAGTTCTACACATAAATAAATTTTACATAAATGTACACTAGTAAGATAAAAGACACTTGAAAATTATTACATAATTTAAATTTTTAGAACCAAAATATAGAGAGCAATAGGGTTGTAGCTCTGTGGCTCCTTTAATTGAACATGTGACCCACCCACCAATTTTTTTTCTGTGGCCCCCATAAAATTTACCAGGGCCTCCTAGTGGCAATGTGGCCCCCAGTTAAGAACTTCTGCCTTAAGTGTTATATTTTGTGGATACACCTGGCTGATTTGCCATTCTTATTTTTCAATGGTTACGTAATATCAGTCCTCCTATAGATGCTGGACAATACCTCACTGATAAAGAGACTTGAAACAACAGAAATATTGTTCTACAGAAGGATGTTGAGAATTCCATGTACTTAATACCTGAGCAAAGTTTTAGAAAAAGTGTAAACAAAAAGGACACTTACATCAGAAAGAGATAGTTGAAATTTCTGGAGTACATAGTGAAGAAAGAGGGCTTGGAAAATTTAATACTCACAGGACAGATTGAAGGCAAGAGGGACAGAGGAGATCAATGCATAGCATAATTAGAGAACTTGAGGACAGAACAAAGTTTAGGATAGATAAAAAAAGATAAAATTTCTTAAACATTACAAAGGACAGAAAATTGTGGAGAGCCATGATTGCCTACCTCTTGAAGGAACACATCATATAGAAGAAGAAATTTACATCTACCGGCCTGTGCATTTGAGTGTGTTACTAAAGAATATGTGCTTTCCAGCCAGATTTTAACCTGTTCCTGCCCCTCCTTATAGGGAAAATCAACATC